GCAGCCCGATTCGTAACCACTACGCTACCAGAGCTCCTATATTATGTATTAGAATGCCTAAATTAAAAAAATAAAGTTTTGGTCATTTTCTGGGGACTAAAAAATGTGCATAACATGTAGTGATTTATAATTCTGTTAGGAAAAGATATTACAAAAGCTTACAATGGTGTGAAGAATAAATAGTTACTAAGCTACCAAATGAAACTTCTGATATGGCATCTCAACAGGGTCACTCTCATTTGACTTAACTTTAAGTGTTTCAGAAAGAAATAAAAATCAGATTTCGTAAATATATATAGTACAATGAAGGTGATACCATTAATTAATGTGACTTGTGATTTTATTGTATATAAAGGAAATCGTGATGGTTATAAATTGACTTCTATTTATACATAAGTTTATCTTAGAGCATGTTTTCATATTTAGACACTTCTCTGGTAGCATAGTGGTTACGAATCAGGCTGTGAACCTCACGGTCAGCAGTTCAAAACTGCCAGCTGTTCAGTGGGAGAAAGATGAGGCTTTCTGCTCCCGTAAAGATTTACAGCCTCGGGAACCCTGTACAGGGTCACTATGAGTCGGAACAGACTCCACGGCACATCACAACAAAAAACTTCATAAGACATAGCTTTGTGTCTGCTACGAGTTTGTTTTATAAGGACTGTATATTAGAATGATAGCACTACTATAAATATTTGGATTTTTATTACATATATTCTGAATCTAGTTGACTATCTAGAGCAAAATTTACAGATAATCAGACACAAGTTGAATTTTTCATGCAGAATTATTATTTCCAAGTGAATATTCTTTCCATGGATGATAACTGAGCATTCTAATTATAAATGGTTATATAAATTGCTGGAACTCATAATAAACAGTTTCAAAATGGTGAAAAAAAATATACAATCAACTGGTGTCTTTCACATTGGAATAAGAAAGCATATAGATTTCCAAATCAAAGTATATAATCTTTCTATGTAGGCAAGCAAATAATCTTTCAAACAGTATGCTTGCTCTGTTTTTGGCAAGATAGGGCAAACAAAGCAAAAGCATTTTATGAAGAAAGTCTTACTAGTCCTACACATTCTGCAAGTTCTTTGCAAGTAACACATTTTGTTTTGTCAGAGAAGAGAAAGCCCATTTCTCAGTATATGCATACGCAGTATGTCATAGGTATCTAGAACCATGTAGTTCTAGAATTGAAATCATCCGAGTTAACCAGAATTTTAAAATACCTTGAAATATAAGTATTGCAAAAATATAAAATTATGTAACACTTGTAAACTCACCCTTCTAATCTTACATCCGGCAGACTTCTGTTAAGGGCAATCAAATCACTGGCCATAAGGTTAAACTGATTGATTTTAAATAGCTCTTTCATTTTCTCCTGGTCATCTTTTGGAATCAGCACAGCCTTTCCCATTTCTCCTGGTCCTTCTTGGTTTCTTGAAATGACAGCTGTAAAACATACACAAGTACACACATACAAACACAGAGATAATAAATTGAATAAGGAAAGTTATGCCTTGGATTAATTCTGAAGTATATTATTTGCATATTAGTTTATTAACATAATCATCAAACCATTATTACTCACTTCCAAGCCTTATACAAGAGACTACTTGCTTCAATTCATTAGCTTAATGATGCCTATCTAGGTAGATTATATGATATACCTAGTGAATAAGACTTAATGATTAATCAATACAAAATAACAAAACTGAAAACTTCTTGATATTATTTTCCATAACTTATTAGGAAGAGATAAAACGTTCTACTAGACAGGCCAAATTGTGTAAAGTAAAAGAGAACTTTTCAAAGTATACCAAGATTAATTTATTTTTATATCCAATTAATTGTTTCAATAATTTATACAGCTATTGCCATTGCTCTTGTGTGGTGTTGCTAAGCACTGACTGCTAATTGAAAGTTCCGAAGGTCAAACTAACCAGCTGTTCATCTGAAACTACCCTATGCAGGGTTGCTAAGAGTTGGAACTGACTTGATGACACTTAACAACAATTGCCAGTGTATCATTATAGAAGCAATGAAGGTTAATGATTGTTTCCACAAATAGATTTAATTCTTTTGAAAAGCATTTAGATTTGGGTAAAAAATAATTTCATTATGCTAATCGCCATCCAGTTGTGTCTGACTCACAGCCACCCTGTATAGGATTTCTGAAACTGTAACTCTTTAAAGGAGCAGAAATCCTCATCTTTCTCCCAACAATAGACTACTGGGCTCAAACAACCAACCTTGCAGTTCACAGGCCAGTGCTTATCCTACAAAGCCCCTATACTATTCAGTCTCTTGTTGGTGATATATAGTTGGATTTGGATACAATGCACTAACAGGAATTAAACAAACAAACAAACAATACTCTGAGCCTGGGTATTCTGAAAGACAATGCAGAGTTCCAGATATACAAGCCAGTGTTTTTGCTATCTCCTCCAAGTTAGCACACTACACTAAACATCTTTTAAAGAGCTCTGGTAGTGAACTGGTTAGCTTAAGGTCAGCAGTTTGAAACTACCAGCTGTTCCGTGGGAGAAAGATGAGGCTTTCTGCTCCCATAAAGACTTACAGCCTCGGAAACCCTGTACAGGGTCACTATGAGTCAGAACCAACTCCACGGCACATAACAATAATAACATACATCTTTTGGAATCCTGATGTAGTGCTGTGAGTTAATGCGCTGGACTGAAAAGTCGTTTGAATCGCAAGGTTGGTGCTTCAACTTCACCAGTCATTCCTTGGAAACCCTATACAGGGTTGCTATGGGTGGGAATCAACTCAACTACAATTAACAACAAGACGTATGTATTTACAATCCATGTGCACACATGTTTGCAAGTACCTTGTTGCTGAAATAATAATAAAGCAGTCTCAGTCAATCTTGTTGTTAACTGCCATCTAGTCAGTTCCTACTCATAGTGGTCCTGTAATATGGTATCCGAGGAGCAGCTGGAGAGCTTGAACTGCTGGCTTTGTGGTTCAAACCAACCTTGTGGTCCAGTGCTTATCCTAACCAGGACTCAAGTCAACCAGATGCACCCTAATTTACCTTTTAACCCATAAATCTATTCTGACTCCTGGAGACCCTACAGAACAGAGCTATACCATACGGCTTTCTTTCTTTTTTCTTTTTAAAAAACTTTTTATTATGAATTGTGTGAAGGTTTACAGATAAGATCATCAGTTTTATACTTAATAAATCATATACTTTGTTTGAGCTCAATGATTACAATCCCATCCATGCAGCAACAGTTATCTTGCTTCCTCCCTGTGGTGGTGGTTGTTGTTGTTAAGTGCTGTTGAGTCGATTCCGACCTATTGCGACCCTGTATAGGGTTTCCAAGGAGCAGCTGGTGAGCTTGAACCACTGACCTTGCATTTACCCATGCACAGATACCTTCTTTCAAACTCTCACTGCACGACCAGGGATTCTTCAATTTACCCTTTATATGATAGTAAATTAAGATAAATTGAAAATAATGCAACTGACTACTCCAATGTTTAGTGACTTTGCAATACTGTGGTGGCTTGTGTGTTGTGATGATGCTATATTTCAAATACCTGCAAGTTCATCCATAGTGAACAAGTTTCAGTGGAACTTCCAGACTAAGACAGAGTAGGAAAAGAGTCTTGAAATCTATTTCCAAAAATGAGCCTATGAAAACCCTATGATTCATAACTAACACTGCCTGATACAAGGATGGAAGATGGACTCCCTTGGAAGGATGATTCAGAACCAGACAGAATGCTATTCTGTTATAAGTAAGGTCACTATGAGTCAAAGCCAACTTGATAGCACCTAACAACAATAATTACAGCACTTTAATATTACTAAATTCAAATACATAAATGAGGACAAATATTTGCATCCAGCCTACATAAAAAAAATTAACGGTAACAATATGTGTGAAAATCATTTGCAAATTAAAATAAAAACTTAAATCAAGCCCATTGCTATCAAGTTGATTCTGATTGATAACATCCCTGTGTTGTTTTTGTTAGGTGTCAGCAAGTTAATTCCAGCTCATAGTGAACATGTGTACAAAAGAACAAAACATTATCTGGTCCTACGCCATCCTCACAATTGTTGTCATGTTGAGCCCATTATTATAGACACTGTAACAATGTTGGCAGTCTTCCTTATTGCGCTGACCCTCTACTTTGTCAAGCATGATGTTCCTTTCTTGGTATCCTGGTTAACATGCCCCTCCTGAAAACATGTCCAAAGTATGTGTGACAAAACACTTTGCTTCCAAGGAGCACTGTGGCTGCACATTTGAGACAGATGTATTTGCTCTATTGGCAGTCCATGGTTCTTTCAATAATCTTTGCCAACACCGTAATTCAAATGCGCACATTCTTCTACTGTCTTCCTTGTTTATTGTCCACCTGCATATTACATGACTGAAAATGTCATAGCTTCAATCAGTTTCACCTTAGTCCTCAAAATGAATCCCTGCTCTTTAACACTTTAAAGAGGTCTTTGGCCTAAAGAAATATGTCCTTTGATTTCTTGACTGCTCCTTCCATGAGTGTTGATTGTATCCAAGTAAAACAAAATTGTTGAATACTTCAATATTTTCTCCACTTTTCATGATATTATTTTTTGGTCCAGTTGTGAAGACTTTTTTTCCTTTGTACATGATCCTTATCACTAAAGTACTTATACTCCTCTTTGCTTATTGCAAGTAAGATTCTGTCACCTGTATAATGAAGATTGTTAATGAAATGTCTCCCAGTTCTGATGCCATGTTCTTCTTCATATAACCCAGCTTTTTGGGTTATTTGCTCAGCATCTAAACTGAAAAGGTATTTTGAAAGAATACACCGATTATACGTATCTTTCCTAATTCTAAACGATTTTGTATCCCTTTTTTCTATTCAAATGACTGTCTTTTGTTCTAAGTACAGATTCTTCATGAGCACAGATATGTGTACTGGAATTTCCATTTCATTATTATCTATAATTTGGTGAATGTCTTTGCATAACCATTAAAAAAAAACAAGTAAACATCTTCCTGGTATTCTCTGCTTTCAGCCAAGATCCATCTAACATCAGCAATGATATCCCTCGTTCCACATCCTCTTCCGAATCCAGATTGAATTTATGGCAATGCCCTGTCAATGTACTGTGCAGCCATTTTTGAATTGTCTTTAGCAAATTTCTATTTGCATGTGATGTTAAAAATATTGTT